CTACACTCACTACCCCCGAGTGACATCTCAACATGAAACTCTATATTATCAACTCAACTCTCCATTTCAACAAGGAGAGCGAATCATTAGGAGACCAACCAAAACGAATCATCTCGTTTCTCACACATCGTCCGTGAGACCCCTATCAAGCAGGAGGGCACCGACTTACCCTCCGATAACCTTGAGAGACTATCTGCTATCTGGTTATCATCACCCGGCAGATGAACAAACTCGATCTGGTACCATTTACCCGTAACCGCACAGTGTAAAGCCAGCTCCTGAGCGATACAGTTCAAGTTTGGGGACCTCGACCGCAACCGCGAAGCTGCTGACAGTGCCGCAACAGAGTCAGACTGACATATAATCTTCGCACTGGCAGGAATCCGACTCGACCACATCCGAATAGCTACCAAAACGGATAGAAGTTCCCATACCGACTGCCACCGACAGTCACCTATGATAGCGTTGAACTTGCAGCAATCATAGTCAGTCGGAGAGTCGGAGAACCATGATATAATCTCGTCTCCCTTTTTGAGGAAACCTCCCAAACCAGTTGGGCTTGCATCGACCACTAGCGACCACCTAACCCGTTGCCACTTATCAATGGGAAAGTATCGCAAATAATTATCCGTCGTATTGTCGCCCGTCGTCGCATCTTTGGCAGTCACCTTGCTCAGGAAGCACCAGATCCATCTCAACGAGGTCCCCAACTTGCCAATAGTGATCCAGCATTGATGTGATGCATCCGCCTCGGCTAGCCTCGACCACAACGGAGCAACAAATGCTCGGAGATAAGGTACAATTTGTGCTGCAAACGATAACCGACCACATAAACTTCTCAGACTAGTTGTCGATATGCGAGCCTTCTCAACCAATAGGGGCTTAACCATCTCCGGAATTCTTTTGATCTTCTCGAGGGGCAACGTTACCAACATACCCGTCTCGCACCTCGATACTTGGAAGCCTATCCAACGGACAGGAAACGACACCTGTCTTTTGGGAAAACTTAATTTAAAGCCAAGCGCTAACCACAACAAAATCGGCAAGCAGAGCCGTCTTCGAGCTACTTGTATGGTTGGACCCCTAGCAGACACCGCTGGATCGTCAACAAAGGTTTCAATCCGACCAATAGGAACAGCCGTGAATGAAACAAAAAGTAATTGAGCTAATCTACTCAATAATGCTGCCGTTCTTCCCCACAGTAAGGGAGAACTACGCAAACCATAAAACAGACAGAAGAAAACTACGAAATAATCACCGACCTTCAACACATGATACCTCCTCTCATCCATCCGTAGAGGAATGGAGCGGAATGCATCTGCAAAGTCTATCACACCTACTTCAACAACCTCTCTATTTTCATGAGCGAACTTCGACAATTCCACTATATCATCAATCCAATCGAAAACTCTAGGGAGCTCTATATGCTCCTTTACGAAGCAATAATCATTCAAATTGTTAACCTTACAATCAGAAACCAATCTCAGCTTCCCATTTGATTTGGGAATGGCTGCCAAAGGAGTGAGCACAATGCTATCACTGTGTACCAACGTCTTCACCTCATCAAACGATGTACACATCTTGCAAAAACCACATTCTTCTTCGGTCTCCAGTACCTTCATGACTTCGTCAAAGTGCTCGTAAGTAGATGGATAATTGCTGAAGTTTAAACAATCATCCTCCCCATAAATGAATTCCAACTTCTGCAGCTGCTCGGAGTCCTCATGACAGGATTCGACCTTCCTATCCAACGGAAAAATATTACAGTACCCAATTTCACCAGCCAGACCAACCGGGGCACCCTCAATGAACCATCTCGGCACCTCAGTATCCCAATCACCACACATAGACACCAACCTCTGAAGAAGAAGACCCTTGACGGTAGAGTGTTGGTGTGACGGTCTTCCTGCTTCTGTAGGGCTTTCGGTTACCCGAAGTAATATCGCCAATGCCTTGTCAATAGCGTCTGACACTAGCGGACACAATAAGGGGTCCTCCTCGTTGAGTAACGCATCGACCACACCTTCTGATGATAAAATAATCTCAGACTGTTCCCTAATATGCTTAAATAAGACTCTGCCATGAGGCAGCCAGATAGTAGATAAATAAGGCTTCCGCAAACCTCCTAGCAATGGACAAGTCGATGAGACCCTCAGCTGTTCATCCAGTATAGACACCTTTCCATGAATAGCCTCATTCGTCACCGAATCCATCGCACATTCCACCACCGGTTCCTGTCAGTCTGATCTCAACTTCTTCACCAGAGGCTGGCCTTGTGCACCACGATCAGACCCTGTAGCTCCTTCCCGGAGTTTCTGATCCTTCGACGTCACCAACGTAACCTTACTAGCCGCCGGCATCTTCGTGCAATCCCTATTGCCACGCGGCAAGGGATGCACCTCTCGACATTTAATACAGATATGTCTGCGTCCATTCGGGCATGGTTCGCCCGAACAACGGCCACCTTGGTAGTCATAGCACACCTGCTCGCTTCTAGATGGCCTAGTTCGTTTCCCGGATGCTCTCGACGGCGTTGTAGTCGAAGTCTCCTTGCTAGCTCTCTGTAACTGGAATACCACCCTATCAACACGTTCCATCCAGAACGCAGAGTCCCCAACGCTAGCGGCATAAGCACCACCCCAGGTATTATTAGATTTCTTGTATCTCACCAGCCTCACCGATCGTAGGTGCTCGTCAGCCGCATATACTTGGGGCCAATAGGTTGTACCATAAACCTTAAATAAACGACTGATCGCCTCCGCATACTTGAGCATATCCGCATGTTGTGCTACTCCCAACATAATGAGCCCCATAGAATAGATACGAAAATTTGTAGCCCATTCCGAGTATGTAGGAATACGACTCAATGTAGCTCGTCGAATTTTCCCATCTTCGTCCACCCTCAACGCAGCTTGCCGTATCGACCTTAGTCTTTCCCGCTGGTTTCCAGTAAACATATATAGATCCACAAACGGGATATTTCCCGCTTCGACCAAACTCTTCAACCCCGACAGTTGCTCTCGACTTGGAATGGACTCATCGGATACCTCACCAAACTTGGCTCTCAATGTCGTAAGATACTGCTCATATGCTTGTTGTGTAATAAGGGAAAACGAACCATCCGCCAAACCATCAATATACTGACTAGACTTCACTCGACTCTCACCTTCTGAAGCCTTAGGACCATCTTTAGTGCCACCACCTTTCTCGATCTCTGTTGTAACCAAACTACACGGGAGACCACATTCATTACGGCATAAGTCGAATAACACCGCAAGTCTTGACCTATCTAATGCTGATTCAACTTCATTTAGCGCCTCCTGGATATCCCAAGGATAGCAGAAACCAAGATCAGCCACCGTTTCTATACCACCATTGTCCTTCGTCAATGTAGCCACCAACCCTTGCCATAACTCATCGTCCACTTTGGCCTTAATGCGTAACTCCTCCACCGGTACCGTAGCAGCGTCGATTCTCTGTGCTAAGGTTGACATTAAAAGAAATTGTAGATTCATCACCAGAATCAATCAAAAAGACTACCACTAGAAACCTCATAGCTTAGCTCGCACAACAGTTCTTCAATAACACAAACCATATTCAAAGTAGCGGCTGTGTTGGGAATTCGAATTGTACTTTCGTGCAATAAAGTGCACTACACTAATTTGTTGAATCTGCTGAATTGCGCCTTGAGGCACTATCTTTGTGGTCCGTGGGTTGATGAACGGGTTCGTATTTCGTTTATACCAAGTATAAAACGGTGGGGTGGTAGAGTTTGCGATTGGTGTTCGACCGATCCAGGTTCGATTTGTAGTTGTATAACGTTTTACGTTGTGTTTAATTGCCGTTAGGAATCCTTATATCCTTAGTTAGCACATCCTTACGTTAGGTAAGGACGTCTTTAAGTATAGACCATGAAAGAATAGCTAGCCTACTCTTACTCAACATGCCTCAAGTGATGGGAATATTAAAGGAGAATCTCGATCATGTCAGGCCCCCTCGTAAATACTCATTCCGTCCTTAGTGATTCAGCTTGACTACTATTGGAAGGGGGGCCTACCGTGGACCCTGACCAGATGAGGCAGTAAGGGACTCCAAAACAAGGTGGAATGACAATGACATTGTCATTGGCTGGATGCAGAAGTTGGAATGGGCACTTGGAGGCTTGCACTGAAAGAGCTCTCCAGGGGAAGTTCGGGAGGGGAAGTCATCCTATCGACTCGATAGTATCGTGTACCGAGGTAGCATTATCACATCCAGACGAATGACTGGAATCCAGAGGACTTCTAATAACTGACAGTTGCTGGAGGTCATTGAACGATATTCGAGTGAAGGTCTCACTTGAAGACTCCAAATTGAAGTGACTCACTTCAAGTGGGGTGAACAATTTTTTCCAACACATGAGTAATCTCAACACATGTGTAGCCACAGCACTACTAGTTATTTTCAACACAGGTGTTGAAAATATCCACAATAGTAATGGTCATTTTCAACACATGCAAGTGTTGAAAAGATCTACAGTAGTAGTGGTCATCTTCAACATATACAGGTGTTGAAAATACTCAGATTACCAGTGGTAACTCCAAGCACATGCAGTATTCAGCATGCTAGCTGGCTGGTAACCGAATTCAATCTTTTAAATAATGCAGAACATGTCGTCAAAGAAGTGAACGCAGAAGTTAAGATATCTGAAACATTGCTTGGAAAGTTCAGACACATCAGAA